ATACAAACTCAGAATCGCGAGAAGAAAACGTAGAATTGTGAGATATAAACTTGCAATTGCGAGAAAAAAAATCAGAATTGTGAGATTAAAAAGTCGCATTTACATTTTTTATTCCTTGGCAGAACCAAAAAAAAAAACCAGAATTGCCAGAATTCTGAGAATAAAAGTCATAATTGTGAGATAAAAAGTCCCAATTATCTTTTATCTTTTTTTATTGTGTGGTGGACTTGTTCCACAAGTCCCTGTCTTTGGTTGTTCAGTGCACATATTGTCAAATACATACAGAGTACTCTATGCATACAGGAAAATTATATACTAATAATGCATACTGCATACTATAGAAATAGTCTGAGTTGGGGTAAGATGCATGTGTGTGTTTTAACACTGTACTGGAGTGACAGCAGATGGCGAGCTTATGTAACTACGTGTGGGCGAGAGCAATGAACAGCAACACGTTTGAATTCAAGACCCCGAGATCATGTCATTCAAACTCACACACACCATGAAAATGTGTGGTGATTGCACTAATCACATATAAGACCACTTTAGGCGCACACACATACACACACACACACACACACACACACAGCTGTCAATTTCAAGTGCCCTCAAGCCCCTCCACATGAGCATATCATGTAATGCTGTTGCATTTGTCTTGTCTTAAAGGGGTCATATGATGCGATTTCAAGTTTTCCTTTCTCTTTGGAGTGTTACAAGCTCTTGGTGCATAAAGAAGATCTGTAAAGTTGCAAAGACTAAAGTCTCAAATCCAAAGAGATATTCTTTATAAAAGTTAAGAGTCAACCACGCCTACCTAAAACGGCTCGAAAATAATGTTTTTTGAACCTTAAACTGCATAAACACATTTCATTACACCAAATACACAAAATCATGTTCTTTTTAGCAACATTATATGACCCCTTTAAAGGCTGCTTCCTGTTTCATGTGTGCCATTTTACTCGTATTGTGTGCTCATCTGTAACAGCGGAGCTTCACTGAATAATAATAATGGCAAATGCATGCTACCATATTACAATTTCTGCAGTATACAGTATGTATACTGAGGACAAATATATGATTTCATTTTAACGATTTAATACTTGTGATTATGAGTATTAACTATGAGAATTAATAATATAACTTATGATTACAAGTATTAATGATATAATACTAATACATCTATTTCACGTCATTATTTGGTCCGACTGCCAAGGGTTAAGATGTTTAAAAACGCAAAATAACCTAAATGAGTAAGATAATGAAGTCATATGACAACGTTGCATACTACACCCTTAAAAGTAACGGTTTTTATTTTTTTTGCATGGATGGTTCCATGAAGAACCTTTAACATCCATTGAACCTTTCTATGGTTCTTTATAGCAGAAAAAAAGTTCTTTAGATTAAGAAAATTGTTCAAGGAGAGTTTACTTAAAGGTTCTCTGGGGAACCAAACATGGTTCTTTTATGGCATTGTTGCGAAAACTCCCTTTTGGAAGCTATATTTTTATGAGTGCGTTCGGTTTACTATTTTATAAATTCTAAACAGTATGCAGTGCAGTATGCTAGTGCTCTGCGATCTCTCCTTTTCATTTCCCACTTCACAAGCTTAACAGTGACAGGAAACTGCCCTGAAATCATCTTCTCATTAGTGTCAGCGATACGACAATGATTCAAAACAATTCTGGCAGACGAAACCCTGGTGTCACACCAGGACTCCAAATAAAACAGCTGTTTTAAAGTGGATGCACTCAAACTCTCACTTCCTTCTGTCTTCCTAACACACACACACACACCCCTCTGGCAGTGCTGTACATCTAAATAGCCCGAGTGACTAATTCCTGTGCATTTCAGCACTGTCTATTCTGGGCTGTTAGGATGGAGTGTGTGAATCATATAGTCTTTGTGGTAATTGCTCCTCTTTGTCTTCCCCCTCCCGTTCTGTTCTGATTGGTTAATGAGGCTCGTTAAATGCACCAGCTTGTTCGTTCAGTAGAAGAGACAGCTGAGCTCAGAGGGGGACGTCAGATGGCCTTTTCTGTCTTAAACAGCTCTAAATTTAATCAGCCAATAGCATTTAGGAAAACATAATGCAGGCAATGTTTGTTGGCTCCATATATTTTGTTGCTTACTGCATCATTAGGTGTTTAAACCACTAATGGGGCAAGGAAGTTTTCGTTCATACAGCAGAGGGGCATGCACATTACTGTTCCCAAAGGTCAAAATGTGTGTTATGCTGCTTAAAGTCTTAATGATTTAGTGTGTGTGTTTGCAGAAGCTACATGCTGCAGCCTAGCAATTATATATTGTTTTTATCATACTGAAAATCTGTTGGGTTTTTCAACCAGGTGCTGAAACTTGCATGAACTGTTCAAAGCACATGAATATTTAATGAGGCAAGCTTGACAAGTTTGTGATTGGTTGTTGCTGAAACTGTGACATTAATAAATTTTAATCGAATTGTGAGAATGAGAGTGTGACCCTTATGGATGGAAGTGATTTGCGCAATTAAAATCAAACCATCTACTGAAGAAAAGCTCTGTTGTGACTAACACAGTGGACAATTTACCATCAGAGGTTAATTTATCATTCTAAAGTGTTTGTTTATCCAGAACAAATGTGGTGGCACATTTAATGCGGGTTTAAAAGTGAATTCAAAGCAGACATTTAAAGTAAAAATTTTAATCCAGGGTTAAAGGAATAGTTCACCCAAAAATTAATGCATCCAGAGTTGTTTACACTGTTAAAGAGTTGGATACTCATGCTAAGCATGGACAAAGTTTCAAAAAACAATTTGGATGTATGACAGAGTATTTCTGTGCCAAAAATCTTACTTCCGGGTTCGTACAAGTTTCTGAGAGTTTTTTTCGATCGTGGCTCTTAATGACGTAAACGAGGGTGGAACTCCTTATATGGGCAGCAACGGAGTGTCAGTTTTTGTGTTTGTTGACGAACGTTTTATAAACAAGGTCCAGTTCGACTCTGGATTTGCACATTGTTTGATACTGAAAGATGGAGCGGTCCCAGCTATAAAAGATCCCGGTCATGATTCAGAACTGCAGACGGTAAGTGAAACGGCATCAAATGTCTGTTTTGTTGGCATTCGGCGCCCAAGTGCTCGTCACTCTTTAGCTCCGCCCACGGCGCGCCTCCAGGAGCTCGGCTTTTTCCGGAGAGAATCGTAAAGCTGTATCTTTCTTTTATAAATATGATAAAACTAAAGACTTTTTGGAGATATGAAGGATGCAGTACTACTCTATAGGTACTCAAGATTAACATGAGATTGGGTGAAACTGTGTGTGTTATGCCCCCTTTAATCTTGATAGATTTGTTTCTTACAAACACACAACTTTTCGCTTTACATGGGATTAACTGATGGACTGGAGTGGTGTGGATTACTTGTGGATTATTGTGATGTTTTTATCAGCTGTTTGGACTCTCATTCTGACGGCACCCATTCACTGCAGAGCATCCATTGCTGAGACACCGATGCAATGCTACATTTCTCCAAATCTGATGGAGAAACAAACTCATCCTAATCTTGGATGGCCTGAGGGTGAGGACATTTTCAGCAATTTTTCATTTTGGGGTCAACATTTCCATTAACTTTGTGACAAGCACACAATGTTGTGCTATTGAAACACACAGAAGCAGAGACCTAAAAGAGCAAAATGTTTAAGCAAATAGCTGAATCTTTTATTTACAGGCCTCAAAACAGTTAACCTCAAATGCTTTAAATAAGTCAGAAGTGAAATGCCTAAGTTCTCACTGGCACGTCCTTCTGTTGTTTTGCTAATAAAGCGGTTATAAAATCCCCACAGAAGACTTTAGAATCTGTGAGAAGTGCGTGACTCAGGTTTTAAAGGTCATGGCTGTAAATTTTCACTTCACTAAAGATCTGTCTCTATGGTTTGCATGTTTCTAATGCAGTTATACTTTGGAGACATATTTGTTGAAAACATCATTAGAATTTAAATTCAACACAACACAGCATTTGCAATGCACTTAAGCTCTGTAACGTGATGTATTTCTGACTTCAATATGATTGTTGTTTTTGTTGAGTAATTGTGTCACTGTAAATGTGTGTGCACGACTAGATTATAGGCTATGTATTTGTCCGTATGATGAATGGGTTTTATATTTGTGGTCAATGTATGTGATTGAGTTAATGCGTGTTTTGTCTTAAGAGTTAATTATTGTGTGTGATAGAATCAAACGCGCCTGTTTGCATGATGCATGTGTTTTTGTTGGCGTGATGATAGCATTATTACTTCTGTGTGCGCTCACTGGCGTGTCATGTGACTCGTGTCATATGATCATCGCTGTATAAGTTCAGTGGCACGCGGCTGGTGAGCTGAGAGTTTTAGTGCAGCAGGTGCGCGGAAGGACGAGAAGGACACGCGTCAGTTTCCTTGCGTCCGGTCAGTATTTAACCCCGCGCTGTCCCGTTACAAATCACCGTCAGTCTGCTGTCGCGATGCGTGCGCTCGCCCTCATTGTTTTGTTGGCGTTTATCGGCGGGTCTGCGGCCGACACTCCGGCCAACTGCACCTATGAGGAGCTGCTGGGCACCTGGATCTTCAGCGTTGATAATGTGGGTCAAGACCGAACCATCAACTGCTCCAGCACAGGTCAGACCAGACCAGACCAGACCATCACAGCTATCTGAATCAGTGCGCTTTTGTCTTCCTCACGGAAGTTCAATTTACTTTCGGTTTCATGCTGAGGTCTTCTGTGCCTCTTTTTAATACAATCGACCTAATTTTTGGCGTTATACTAAAATGATGCATTAAGGATGGCATTGAGATATACTTTTGGCTTTTTGTATACTCCTAATAACACTGGTGCTGTGGTAGTACCATGGTGCAAGGATTAGCATTGCTATTATACTTTAATTATTTACCATGATACTGAATGATTACCATGTTCATATACCATTAAGTTACTCAAAGAATTCCATGTCAAAAAAACAATGATGCTGTCTGAGAGTACAAAGTATAAATATTATTGTCCCGTTTTGTTTTTGTGTAGGCCTATATGGTTTGCTTTTCAAATTGTATATGTTGGGTGTGTTTTGAAACCTAGAGAACTGCCCACAAATGCTTCCTATGAAGGCATCATGGGTGCATCTAAATAGTGTTGGGCGGTATGACCAAAAATCTATATCACGGTATTTTTCAAAATTATACCGGTTTCACGGTACATGACGGTATTTTTTTTTCATGCATGACCGGGTGTTAACCATATTTTCTACTGATTGAGAGGAAATACTGCAGTATATTGACTTAGAATGCCCTATTTTACTGTCATGATGAGTGAATATTGTCAAAAAAATACCACACTAAATAGTGACTAAACACGACCCCTTTGAATACATGTTAAGCAGGATCAAAAGCACATGATGTACAGAATGCAGTCTACATAGGCAGCTCTGTTAGTATTGCCATAATACTTTGACATTTACCATGCTACTGAGTGATTGTCATGCTTATATACCATGGTATTTCCAAAGTAACTACTTTATACTTTTGTTTTTTTGTATATTCTTAAACACACTGGTACCATGGAACTAGTATTGACATTTATACTCTGATATTATTTACCATGCTACTGAATGACTACCATGCCATGGTTACTCAAAGAATACCATGTCAAAAACGGGGTAATGCCATATTAATGTAGTATAGTATTTTGTCAGTGTCCATTAAAGCATATTTATCTTAATTGACAATGTTACATTACTACTTTAATGCTGCCTGACAGTACAAAAGTATCAACTTGATTTTCATTTTTGGTTTACGTTGTTTCCTTTTCCTTTGTGCATGCTGTCTGCGTTTTAATACCTAGTGAACTGCCTTCAAAGGCAGCATTTGTGAGCATCATAGGTGCATCTGAACATTCATAGCACATATGATGCATTGGCAGATTTTGAATGGCGGCCGATGTGTTTGCATAACACCAAAGCTATTTCCTTAAGTTTCTAAATTAAGCGTTTTTGACTTTTAAACAGGAAAGTCCGTGAAAACGGTGACCGTGGACCTGCAGAAGTTGTCTCTAGCTGTGGATGATCTCGGTCACACTGGCTTCTTCACTCTTATCTATAACCAGGGCTTTGAAGTGGTGATCAATGACTACAAGTGGTTCGGGTTTTTCAAGGTAAGCATGATGAGACACTTTTAGTCTCGAGTGACAACACATGACTGGTCAGATGACTGAGGTTTCACAACAGAAGGGAAATTCTGACATCGGCTCTTTTGTGTTTCACTGTTCTTTATTGTACTGGTGTGTCTAGCTCAATAAATGTGGTATGATTGATTTTACACATGCAATCATCTTTTTAAAAATTTTTTAAATGACTAGGGTCTGATTTCTAGTGTTAATTTAGTATTTAGTGATGTTTGAAAATGGCTTTTATTTTTATATTTTCAACTTTCATATTTTAGTTTTAGTAATTTATATGCCTTTGTCATTTTTCTTAGTCTTTTTTTTTTTTTTTTTTTTTTTTTAGCTTCAACTTATATTATTGGTTACCTGTTACTATGGTTTTTTTCTAATTTTAAAATTTATTTAACTTTTTTTATTTTTATATTTGATTTCAATTACCAAAAACAATTTTTAATAGTTTTAGTTAATAATAGCACTGCTGAGTTCAAACATTAAGAAGTCAAGAGAATATGAATACATTTGCCTTCATATACAAATTTATGAAAAATTGTATAACTAGACATTTCTTTTCTTTTTTTTTAATCTAGTTTTTCACAAGATGTTGCTGGGGAATCACATAAAATGTTTATTTTAAAATATTTAAAAGCAGTTAATTCATATTAATAAATGTCTTAAAGGGGATTAAATATTGTGCTTTAACAGTAATTTTATTGCATTGAGTATTTTTTCTCTCTTTGTGTCTAGTATTCTCAGCAGGGTTCAGAGGTGACCAGTTACTGCGATCAGACGCTGCCTGGTTGGGTTCATGATGTTTTGGGGAATAACTGGGCCTGTTTCACTGGGAAGAAGGTGCAGCCCATCCCACCTCGAATCGACCACAATCACATGCTTGGATTTGAACACAAACTGTAAGTGTGTCAGCAGTCTTTGTTTCTCTATTGTGATGCAATTGTCCTTTATCTTGCTGTATGTCTTGATAAGATCTTGTGTGATTTCATCAACCTTGAATAGTTGATGTATTTGTGACCCTGGAGCACAAAACCAGTCTTAAGTTGCTGGGGTATATTTGTAGCAATAGCCAACAATACATTGTATGGGTCAAAATGATCGATTTTTCTTTTATGCCAAAAATCATTAGGATATTTATTAAAGATCATGTTCCATGAAGATATTTTGTAAATTTCCTACCGTAAATATATCAACTTAATTTTTGATTAGTAATATGCATTGCTAAGAACTATTTATTGGTTTGTATGGTATCAACCAAACATCATCTGATCTCTAGGCTCATGAAGCTGCCATACACAAACAACATGGAGTTCGTGAATCAAATAAACTCTGTTCAGAAGTCCTGGAAAGCGACAACATACAGTCTCCATGAGACCCTCACCATACAGGAGATGCTGAGAAGATCAGGAGGACATGCCTCTCGTATACCACGGTACGCTTGCTTTAATTGGTGCAGTCAGGGCTTTGTGTAAAAATAAATAACTGATGCCTTTAAAACTGAAAAATAACGAACCGTATTGGCGATTTTTCCTCTGCAGGATAATGTGTAGTGAATATTAAGAGCAGCAACATTTAGTTTATAAGATAAATGGTCAAAGATGTCATGTCAGGTTTTTCCTCTCTCTCTCAGTCGTGTCAGGCCTGTGACGGTTTCCGCAGACAGTAAGATGGCAGCCGGTCTTCCAGAACACTGGGACTGGAGAGACATGAACGGAGTCAATTATGTTAGCCCTGTCCGCAACCAAGGTGCGTGTGTGAGAGAGAATAAGAGGAAATACTGCTACCAAACGGTTGCTTCAATCTATGTCCTGCATTGCTCAGAGTTGAGCATGTGATTTGTATCAAAAACCTCTCGCAATCCTGTACCACCTACAGTTGAGTCCTGGGAATAACTTCAGTATGCTACTATTGATTTATTGTGTTTACTCTCCAATCCAGGAAGTGTGTGTCATTGAGTGATGTAGCTTTTCTTACTATAGAACAGCCTGATAAATGATGCTAGAAACACTACCGGGAAATTGAGGTTTTTGTCTAGTGTGTTTGGCTATTGTTCATTTTTACAGAAATTTCCCTAACAAACTTAATGCAGTATTTATTTTTTTATTTGTATAAGTGTATAATAATTGTGAAGTAAGGTTTCCGTAGAAGAACCTCTGGATATTTAATATTTAATTTAATATTTATAGTTTAAATTTCATATAAACCATGGTTTCCTTCTGTGGATTCCTTTGGGCCATTTTTGCTATTGCTTTTATAGAATTTACTGATTTTTCAATTGGCTTTTTTATATTTTTTGTTTAAAGATATTTAATTTAATATTTATAGTTTACATTTCATATAAACCATGGTTTCCTTCTGTGGATTCCTTTGGGCCATTTTTGCTATTGCTTTTATAGAATTTACTGATTTTTCAATTGGCTTTTTTATATTTTTTGTTTAAATTTTAATGTATAGTTTTAGTAACTTTTTTTTTTTTTTTTATTCTGGTTTTGTTTTTAAATTTCTCATTTTTAGCAATTCGAGTAATTCAACTTAAATGACAATTACAAATGTCACACATACAAAAGTTTTTAATGTAATATTTATTTTCATTTTAAAAATATTTTTAATTCAGCTTTTTCAATTACTACAAATGTGTTTTGTTTTTGTTTTTTACAGCAAATGTGTGGTACATGCAGTAACTAAATCTTGTTTTTAAATGTATTTTATAATTAGCTGTATATTCTTAGGATATTTTTGGGAAATGGATATTTTGGATTGCAGTGTTTCCCCTAGGTTTACGGCTTTTTCTGTTTTGTTTTTTTTCAGTTTAAATTTTTCTGGACTCCTTTTTAATGGATAAATTACATTTTATTAATCCAAAAACATGTCTAATTAATTAAAATCATCAAACTTAACATTTCATAGGGCCCTAAACTTTTGATAAATTGATTGTGAATTGTTTATTTATTTTTTCCAACCTTGTTTTATTGTTACCAAATTCTGTGTTTTAACATGTCTAATTATTTAGACATTATTTAAATTATTTCATTTATTCTTACAGTAGCCTAATGATTTTTTCCCTCAGAAATTCTGTGTTGTGTATTTACATGTAAGGCATAAAACGGTCTATTTAAAGCCCTCTTATTTCTCTCTGTCTTAAGAAGTCTAACCATCTTTGACCAAAGATTCTAATCACAATATGATTTTTGAATTAGTTTTTTTCCACTTGTACCTAAATCATACTCGTACTACTCTTGGGTTTACAATCTCATCTTTCCTAGTCAGTCTTTTACTGTTGATGCGAAACACAAACTGATATTGTCTTGCTGGTAGCTTCTCTCTGAAATAAGTGTGAGATGATCGGCTCTTCAAGCGATGGTCGACGTGTCTGGAGTGGCCCGTTCCTTTCAGAGCCTGATAGTGTCTCACTTTTGTTAAGAGCTCCTTCAGATGCTCAGGAGGCATTAGAGGAGGAAGGAGAGCGGATTAGAGGATGGATCTGTAGGACAAAGTAATGAGGTTGTAAATTGTCATTTTTGATCTCTATATGATTTCCTCCTTTATTTCTTTCTTTTTCTCTCTCAAGCTCAATGCGGCAGCTGTTACTCCTTCTCCACTATGGGAATGCTTGAAGCACGAGTCCGAATCCAGACAAACAACACGCAGCAGCCGGTGTTCAGTCCACAGCAAGTGGTGTCCTGCTCCCAGTATTCTCAAGGTAAAAGCACGTGTTGATGCATTGAGGCAAACGTTTAATATGACCCGTATCTGTGCTGAACTTCAGAGGACCTGTCTGCATATTTGCAGTTATAAAACCATGAATGTATGCTTTTCCAGCACCCTCAGGATTATGGTTACACAATCCGATTGAGATCAGAATGGATTCCTTGCGTAAATGTTTGACTTTGGGTTCCTTTTTTTCCTTCCTGTAGGTTTTTTAAGATCAAAAAGATTTCTTTAGGGATGCAAAATTGTATATGTCTTTACATTTGTTTATTCATTATTTCAGCTTTTCACTGTTGATTTAAATGTGTAAAGTTTCTGGATTAATTTTTTCTCATTTTAAATGCATTTAAGTGAACTTTTCCTTTTGTAAAACTTAATGGTAGGGTGGATTGGGAGAGAAATGAAAGCATGTTTAAGGGATTGTTTTTTTTATTACTAGTAAAATTGTATTATATAGTTAACAGCAGTTTTAGAATATAAAATTCTTGCTACCAATACATATACAAGGCTAGAAATGGGGGGGGACGGAGTCTGGGGAGTGAATTTCGAGGGGGGACGGCGTTTCATTTCCAACTGGTTAGGTTTATTTGGAAATTAAAGTGATTTCTATATTTTATCCATTCAAAAGACTACGAAAGCGATCCCAGTTCTGCACAAACCTAGCGCGATATAGACAAAAAATGTAAAGGGATATTTGTGTTTGCTGCGCACTGCCGTCTTTTGTGATTGGCCATAATACCTGCAGACTGCAGCCAATGGAAATGCTTCTCTATCGGTGCGCGCGCTGCTCCTCACGGCACAGATCGTGAAAGCTGACTGCAGTTTTTGTCATTCATTATAAGTGTAGAGACGATGTAAATAATCGATTCAGTGTGCAGTGTAGAGAGCTTCATTAATTATCGCGATGAACTAAGAGGAGTGACAGAATTTTAATGATTATAAAGGGAGTTTGCAAATGTGACATTGAATTTATACAACGTTTTTATACATTTCTGATTTTATACAGGAGTTAATTTTAAGTGACTTACATTTTAGGAACACCGTTGTCTGATTATGCTCTATTTCCTCAACTAAAATAATTCCAAACAAATC